CTGGGCCTTGGCATGCTGGTGGCCGCGCGCGCAGGCCCTTGGTGCACAGGGCCTATCTGCGTGGGCCTGCTACGCAGACGGCGCGCGAACAGTGTGCGGCGCCTATCCATGCACGAGGTGAGGCATGGATGGCCTGCCTGCGCGCAACAGGACGCACGCAGGTCCTGACTCTACGTAGTACGCACGTCCCATGCGTGCATGCGGAGGGATGGGTGAGCTATGCGCACGTCTCGCAGCCCATGTGCGAGCATACCCACGTGCACAGTGCTCGGCACCCGCGCGGGCAACCAGACTACTCGCGGGATTTTCTTTCCGATTCTCAGTTTTTCGATTTTTTTCTTAATTTTTATATTTAAATTAAATGAGTTAGGTACAATTAATTAAAATAAATCAAATAGAAATTAATAAATAAAAATCAATCAAAATTACGAATTACGATAATTATTAAACAACGTAAATAAATTAAGTTTAACGCGGCCAAAGGCCCAAATAAATAGGATTTCTAAATCATTTTGGTACAATGATAGGCAGGGTGTTACATGTACAATTTCTTATAATAATTTTATTTAAATGCAACTAACAAATATTTTATGTAACATCCGAGCCTGGGATTTAGGCTCGAGATAATCAAAATTTTATAAATAATAAATTTGAAAATTTTATATTTTAATTCTTCTTTGAAATTTGAAGAAATATATATTTTGGGTGTATTTGAAAATAATTTTCAAAAATTAGAGCCAAACTGCAAATAAGAAAGGACTTATTTGAAAAAAAATTGAAAAACTGGGGCAAAAGTGAAAAAAATAGAAAAGTTACCACGTAGAACCGCTATGTCAGTAGCGTGGCAGACACGCAGATGCACGTCCACACGGAAAGCCACGCGGGCAATTCGCATGCTAACCAATCTAATGGCCCAAATTCACTCCTTCGCGCATGAACGACCCAAATTCGTTTCCCCTTCAAGCGTGATCAAGCAGTCCTGATGCATTCGATCGTGCGGTCTTGATTCATTTTCCAAATAAGATGGATCTAACGACAGAGATTAGGCCACGTATCCTCGAATGGACGACCCTAATTAATGGAGAAAGAGTATTTAAACTCATCCTCCATCGAAATCTTAACCTTAGCCGCAACCAGCTTGCTGGAGAAGAAGAAAAAGTGCGGTCAGAAGAGAAGCCGACCGCCGTCACTACCGCACCGGAACCCTCCCCGATGCCGGAATGTGAGGTTTTTCTTCCCTTTCGATTTGCATTTCGATTTTAAGTCACTCCAAACACATATTGGCGCTGAAAAACTAAAAAAAAAAAGCCAGAAACATATGGTGGAGCTCGGTCGAGTCGTCGCACCCGCGACCCAAAACCCCACCGGTGAGCCTGAATCCCCTTCCCCTTCCCTTCCATTTTTTAACCATTGAATTCCTTACTCGTTTCTGGTGCATGGTGACCGAAGAAAAACTCTGACCGCGAGGGAGTAATAGTGGAGTCGTCGCACCAGAAACTCCACCCACCGGTAAGTCTTGGTTTTTTTTGCCCTTTTTCTGCCAATAGGGCCAACTAACCTTGAGTTTTGCAAGTTTTTGCACAAGATTGACTAAAATTGGCCATACAAAAAAATTTTAAACCCTTTTGTTTTCTATATTGATAGTAAAGTGTTGATATTCTTATTGGGGTAGTGTAGCTCATCTATCCCTTTATTAACCATTTCATATCAGGATGATCAAGATTCGAATCCTCAGCAGTAAGAAAGTTAGTAATTAAAGGTTGTCTCCCGTCTCCTACCAGTTGCGCAGCAGAGGTCGATCCCATAAATTTCTAGTTACACTTTTCTTTCTATTATTTTAATTTCTTTTAAGGGATATTCTCGTAACTCTATTGAACATTCTGATAAAATTGTGCAAAGAATGTAAATCTTAAATTTTTAATTGCTTTCGCTAATATTTTGTAAAATTTAATATTATTATTCAATTAAATTTTGGGCTTTTACATTTTATATACTCTTTGCAATAACATAAACTTAACAATAAATTAAACATACATCTGTAACACTTCCACACCTCTAATGCAAAAACTTAAATGGTTTGAGAATAAAATAAAAAAGAATATACAATATATGTGTATGGATATAATGTGTACATATTTTTGTGTATAAATATCGTGTTAATGCCTACTTGACTATAACACTTTTGCTAAAAACATGAATAACTACATAGATTATGAAAAAATAATATTATTTTGTTTAATTAATTACTATCATCTCAAGTTTATAACAAGACTGATTAGTAGTTTTTAAATGACAATCAACTTTATAACGTTTTATTGGGTAGGAAGAGAAACAAACATTTCTATATATATATATATATATATATATTTAAATATTTTGTGTGTTAACAGGTGTGCGTCTATATATGATGTTCTCCATCTATATTCTGAACTCATATTATTCGAGTTGGAAAATGAAGAGAGAAAGATGGTATTGGATTTTTGAAATTGGTGAAGAAGAAAAATAAGCATTCAATCATTGATTGCAACTATGAAATCAATAGTTTCTTATGCATGAACTGATTTCTTTAATCTGTTTGGTTTGTTCAATACTTAGTTAATAGTTAATTTTACTCACCTTTACTTTTTTTTTAAAAAAAAAACTTGTATTGCAATGTAAAGAATTTGATAAAAGACCATAACCGATAGTGTTGTAACGTGTGGCGTTATAATGGTCACAAGAAGATGCATCCAATGCTTCAATTCTTTAAAATACAATATGGTTTTGTTAATATAATCAATCCCCAAAATGCAAAATATTAAACAAAATAGCCCACGTGAACATAATATACATAAATTTTATAGGACATAGATTTTATTTAAAAGCACACAAATTTTGTGAGCATTTATTTTTTACAAAGTTATAACTTACACAAGTTTTTTTTTTATATAAATTTTAGCCAACTAGAACAAAAGTTCTTTTGATACGTGGATTCATATCAACCATGATATAATTTTTAACGAAGAACACCATTCATTTGCTGTGGATTTAAATTTTCTTTTTTATTTAAAAGAAAAAAAAAAAAAAAAAAAAAAAGATAATTGCACCATCCCTGTTTGGTAAATTTTGCTTGTTTTTTTTTTTTTTTTCCGAGAAAGTTACTTTCATACTCAAATATGGTTTGTACCAGGACGTGCCACGTGTCACGTCAGTCACACAAAATAAATTGACGTCTCCATCTCAACCTGCCACGTCATTACACGTCGAGACAAGATAGCTCCGTACATGACGTGGCAGGATATGGCCGTTCAGATCATTATTCAACAGTTGTGGGACCCACCTGCTTGGACCTCGGGTAGGTAGAGGAGAGACTGCCGCGAGACATAAATAAAACGAGGAATTGTTCGTCGTTTCATCGAGATCTTTTCATTG